AGGAGTGATTCCTGAGGGCTCAACACAGCCAGGAGTAAGCCTACCCAAACAAAACCAACCCCCAAACAAAACAACCCCCCCAAACTACTAGATGATTATTTTTTAATGTGTGATCTGAGCCAGTTACATCACAAACACCTTGGATGTTTGCTAAACTGTGCATACTTAGGTCTCCTTCAAATTTCACTAATGAGAACTTAATGTGTATGCACATGTGCACACACACACAAACACACACATAGGAACCTGTATAAATACTACCACTTATACTACCTTATAAATTCTACCACTGCTAGTATGGATGTTTAGCAGTTTAAATATTTAGGTAGGCAGTTTTTGAGGAAGTCATTGTTTTTGAGGGAGGGGCATAGTCTGCACCAGGGGGATATTTCAAGAAAACTGGTGCCTGGACTGAACCTGGGTTTGCACATTTGCTCAGCTTGTTGAGTGATCAATTCTGCTTTTTTACAATAGTGTTTCTAATTTTCAAAGAAAGCCCTGTCCCTTATCTGAACTTCTTCCCTTCTAGTGGCCGTGTCCTATTACTTGGATCCTGGTCTCATGCCACATCCACCATTTATGCAACTCCCTCCCTCCCTCCCTCCCTCCCTCCCTCCCTCCCTCCCTCCCTCCCTCCCTTCCTTCCTTCCTTCCTTCCTTCCTTCCTTCCTTCCTTCCTTCCTTCCTTCCTTCCTTTTTCCTTCCTTCTTTTCTTCTTTTCTTCCCATCATCCCTCCTTCCCTCCCTCCTCCCTCTTTTCCTCCCTCCCTCTTTCCCTCCCTTCCCCTCCCTCCCCCCTTCTTCCTTCTTTTGATTTTGGGCAAAACAGACTGTACTCAGACCTTACTCCTGGCTCTGCTCAGGGATAACTCCTGATGAACTCTAAGGACCATATGTGGTGCCGAGGATTGAACCTGGGTAAGCAAAGTGCAAAGCAAGTACCCTGATTACTGTATCACCACTTTGCCCCCCATTTAAGCAATTTTGGTGTGTAGCTTTTTGGGGATGTACTGAGGGTATACCATGGAGGCACATGCTCCCCAATTAAGAGACACTGCTTTAGAGAAAAATTTTCTACACATTATCTTTATAACAACTAAGGTGAAGGGCAAACTTGTAGCAAAGATCCTTCACAAGGCCTCTGCAGAGGTTTGAATAGGAAAACCCATACTTTTCCAGGAATTCTAACTGGAATAATATTTTCCAAACTTAAATTTAAGAATTAGGCTGGAGCGATAGCACAGTGGTAGGGTGTTTGCCTTGCATGCAGCCCACCCCACGGACCTGGGGTTAAATTCCTCTGCCCTTCTCAGAGAGCCTGGCAAGCTACTGAGCGTATCTCGCCTGCATGGCAAAGCCTGGCAAGTTCCCCGTGATGTATTCAATATGTCAAACACAGTAACAAGTCTCACAATGGAGATGTTACTGAGTCTGCTCAAGCAAATTGATGAACAACAGGAGGACAGTGACAGTGACAAATTTAAGAATCATATATCTTTCCAAATACTTTATCACTGTCACTGTATCACTGTCATCCCGTTTTTCGTTTTTCATCAATTTGCTAGAGTGGGCGCCAGCAACGTCTCCACTCATCCCAGCCCTGAGATTTTAGCAGCATCTCCTTACTCGCCTTTCCCAATGCTGCTGTATTGGAGGCTCTATCAGGGACAGGGGAATAAGACCCGTTATTGTACTGTTTTTGGCATATTGAATATGCTATGGGCTGGAGCGATAGCACAGCAGTAGGGCGTTTGCCTTGCTCACAGCCAATATGGCCGACCCGAGTTCGATTCCTCCACCCCTCTCAGAGAACCCGGCAAGCTACTGAGAGTATCTCACCCACACGGCAGAGCCTGGCAAGCTACCCGTAATGTATTCAATATGCCAAACACAGTAGCAACAAGTCTCAAAATGGAGACGTTACTGGGCCCGCTCGAGCAAATCGATGAACAACGGGAGGACCGTGACCGTAACCGTGAATATGCTATGGGTAGTTTGCCAGGCTCTGCTCTGTGGGCGGGATACTCTTGGCAGCTTGCTGGGCTCTCCGAGAGGCATATATATATATTAAATTTAAGAATCATATATCTTTCCAAATACTAGATGTATTTAATACACCATTAAATGATCATCTTGAGCATTTTTTTCTTTTTGTTTTTTAAGCCACACCCAAAAGTGCTCAGGGATTGCTCCTGGCTCTGTGCTCAGGGATCATTTCTGATGGTTCCTGGGAGACTGAATGTATTGGGTATAGAACCAAATGGCCCCCCTTGGATACTTCTTAAGAATTTGCTTGAGGCCCTCCTGTTGATCATCGATTTGCTCGAGCGGGCCCAGTAACGTCTCCATTGGAGACTTTGTTGTTACTGTGTCTGGCATATCGAATACGTCACGGGGAGCTTGCCAGGCTCTCCAAGAGGGGCGGAGGAATCGAACTCGGGTCGGCCATGTTGGCTGCGTGCAAGGCAGGTGCCCTACCCGCTGTGCTATAAGAATAGGAATGTCTTTTTTTTTCATCCATGCTTGTTATTTGCTCGAGCGGGCCCAGTAACGTCTCCATTGGAGACTTTGTTGTTACTGTGTTTGGCATATCGAATACGTCACGGGGAGCTTGCCAGGCTTTGCCGTGAGGGTGAGATACTCTCGGCAGCTTGCTGGGCTCTCCGAGAGGGGCGGAGGAATCGAACTCGGGTCGGCCATGTTGGCTGCGTGCAAGGCAAACGCCCTACCCGCTGTGCTATTGCCCCAGCCCTGTGACTATAGTCTTTCATTTAGACAGATTTTAAGAACATCTGAATAATTTTTCTTTTTTGGAACTACATTTTAGAGCTCCACCATGTCCTATAATCCAGGCAGAGCATGTGACAGAATCTTGCCATAAAACAATGCTAAGAGTATCCCACATCTTTCCCTCCTCTGTTCCTTTATGTGGCTCCAAGAATTCACAGCACCTTTGTGGTTACCCTCTTTTTGATTCACGATTTTTGACTTAAACCACAGGCAGTTGTCTATTCATCCTATTTATAACAGTGGAGATAATTAAAGATCCCATTTGATTCTTAATTAAGAGCATCTTCTTTGCCTGATTTAGCCCTACATGCAAAGTTGGAGATTATGCTTTCTCCTGTGTCAATGCTCAGGCTGACTGAGAAAGAAAAGAAGATAAATATGGGAAACCCATTTGCGGAATGTCTGCGTGCTAGGTTTCCTCTTTTGTCCCAAATAGAAAAAAAAAACACAACAGCCTATTATCCATGTTTTCCCTTTGAGGAAATAAATGAAGCTGTATTCTCTCATCAGTGTAATTGCTGAGTTTTGAACAAAGATTCTAACAAGACTAAGGACTTCTTCGTTTATCTCTCTGCTGACATTAGAGCTGCCCCAGATTAAGTACCTCTGCCCTTGGATCAATTACCCAGAATCTTGTAATTGAGCATCTCCAATTACGAGGCTTGGGAGAGACCATTATATATTACTTTTCACCTCCATGTACATAATCATATGTAATCACACAAGAGCACTTCAAGTAGCAGAGTGCCTATTATTCTTCTTTGTGGGGACAATTCTCTCTTAGTAAGGATATTACACTTTACTCTCTTTTCTGTTATGCAGACACTTGTGAAAGTTACCACTAATTTTAGAGATCCTTTTGAAATATTTCTGAACTACAATCAAATTCAGAATGTAGATCATTGACAGAATCCTATAGCTCCTTCTCTCTTTATATCTGTATTTGTATTATAAATTATTTGGACGCACTTCTGGTACTCCTTTAAAATCTAAGATTTATTTATTTATTTTTTGAGCAGAGATGTCCAAATCACAGATCTTAAAGCCATACATCTTTTTCACAGGCAGCCTTTGTTCTTCATAATCTCTAATTACGTATTGAAAAATCCTTTTAAACTAGACTTGATAGGGCAAACAATAGTAATTTGCTTTTTGCTGTTGATTGCAAATGTGACTTCTGGATTACTTGAGTACCAATAGTTTCTTTTTTTCAGTTTTAGCTGTATTGGGATTTTTTACATGAAAAAACTTAATTTCCAGTGTCATTTGTTTTGCAAAAGAAAACATACTGGGAAAACAAAGAATCTCTGAGGTCTTTCACACTTTATCTGAAATTAAAGTTTATGGCCAGACTTTTAAAATTAGTTTAGAAACAAAGTTAGTGCTATCAAAGCAATTAAAAACACATAGTAGAAGAGATCCAAAATAGCGGGAAAGTTGTAGGTTATTTTTAAGCTAATTTGGAACAAAGGCTGACATTAATGAAGAAATTAAAGTGACATAACAGAGGAGATCCAAAGCAATGGGATCAATTCTAATTTTGGTGTCAGTTTTGCACCAAACTGATTTTGAGGCTCTAGATTTTTAACAGAAATCAACCAAAGTGCAGAATAACTAAGCTCATCATGGGCTATGGGGTTAATAGAGATTGCTGCTAAGGGAATATGGTTAATTGGCAGGAATTTACTGAATTTAATGTATTTCAGGATGGTTACTTTTGGACACTATTGCCCTTGAGGTCAATACTGAGTTGAAATAGCATTAACTACTGGGAAAACTATTGGTCCTTCATAACTTATGTTTAACTCTAGCTGTTTAAATCAAATATTGAGTCATTTCAGCTTCAGGGAGTGAAAGATTGGTTTAAGGGCAGAGGGAGTGTATAGACAAAATATATCAATCAGAAGAGGGAGGAAAGAGAGGCAGGACGGTGCAAATATCTTTGAATGAAAAATTTTAAAGTAGTGGCTCTTTGGGAACAACCTGAGTAGATATAATGAATGCAGAAGACTATATGAGGTACTTTACACATATATTTCATCATTATTCTTTTGTATCACAAATCTTTCTGATCATTATGAGAAAAATTTTCCTTAATAATCCTAAATCTTAAAACTTGATCCAAACGTCTTGGTTTTAGTCAAATTAGTCACTTCTAATTATTTCTTGCTTGATTTTTGGTCTAAACTCCACTTAATTTTTTGCTTCATATGCTCGCTTTGGCAGCATATACGCTAAAATTGGAATGATACAGAGAAGATTAGCATGGCCCCTGCACAAGGATGACATGTACATTTGTGAAGCGTTCCATATTTTTATCTGTATTTCAAACCATAATGCCCAAAAGTAGAGAGAGATATGGGTCTGCCACGGAGGTATACTGGGGTGTACTGGGGATATTGGTCGTGGGAATATGCAGTGGTGGAGGGAGGGGTGCTTGATCATTGTGTGATTGTAACTCAAACATGAAAGCTTGCAACTATATCTCATGGTGATTTGTGTAAACGAAAAAAGGCAGCAGCAGCAGTCTATATCTCCCGCTGCCTGTGTTCGTATTCTCGGGCCATTTCCCCTACCCCGGAGAGGTTGATGGCGATGGGCAGGTGAAGGAAGGAACCGCAGGCCAGGCTTATTGGTGTCAGTTGCAGTTTAATCTATTCCCATCTGCATTCTCCTCTGATTCTCCTCCTGCTTCTTCCTCCCCCACGCTACTTCGTTCTCTTCCTTGATCCCCCTTCATTCTCCTTCTGGCTCTGGAATCTGGATCCCCTAGTCCACTCTTACAGTCTGCTTAAATCCCCAAACCATGAGGGGTTGGGGCTTACACATAGGTGTGGTCACAATCAATAGGAGTAATGTTCTTTCCCTGGGGAAAGCTGCTTCTAAGACAGATTCTCATTTAGCAGGATGACCCACCCAAGAGCGAAATCCCATGGGTATGTTTCTCCTCTCCTTGTCCAACAAATATATGGACATTCATAATATTAATCACTTTGTATGGACACAGTAAGGGATACATTAAGCTTATAGAATTGCTCTCCTTGGGCCATCTAGATCTCATACTACAGTGCTCAGGCCAGATAGTCTTTCCTATCTGTAGCAGGGTCCTAGTCTCATGGTTACTTTTGGACTAAGACAGCATTTGTCCATGATCAAGCTCTTAACTTATAGTTAAGAATCGTGGCACTTTGGCCTGGCCCATTTCGATGCCAGGGTAGCTCACAACTTGCCCTGGGTCCATTTAGTCCCTCATCGGGACCCTGCTTTTGGGGTGCTAGGAACTAAGGTCAACTGAGACTTAAGTCGAGTAAACAGATGCCCGGGAGTGAATAATATTCAAGGCCAATTAAATCCTAAATTACAAAAGCATAATATTAACTGTCTTCCTGTATCTATACAAAAAGGACATTGCATTAAAGTAAACTATTCAAAAGACAAGGAAAGGAGAAAGGCAATATTAACTTACAATACAAGTTCAGTGTCCTAGAAGGATCTGATCTTACAAATTATTAGAGTCTGATTGGGGGGAAAGCTGATTAACTGGTTGGGGAAGAGAGCATAGAGATGTGGTTACAGATAAACAAAGGAATGGGAGTGACTCAGGAGCACTGTGATGGGTGTAACCTGATAAACCTAAGCTCCTTGTGCCAAGGGATAAAGGACAAATCAATTGTTATCCTACAGTGATTCAATTAAAAAAAAAAGAAACAGAAAAAAAATGTTTTTGCTTCACCAAATTCTGAAAACCATGCTACTTAAGCCTATTATTATTTCATCCCCTCCTCATCTACTCAGACATATAATAGGTTAGTTTTTGAAAGATTTCAGTTTTTAAATTTCAAAGATGAAAAGGCTTATGGAAATATTTCTCTTATTTCAATCAGCAGCTAGAATTTCTGCATCACTTTTTCACTGAGACTAGGGTTCATTGTTCTGTGTCTATTTGGGCTTTCTGCAAATATTCCCCACCTACATTGCATTAAAGTAAACTATTCAAAAGACAAGGAAAGGAGAAAGGCAATATTAACTTACAATACAAGTTCAGTGTCCTAGAAGGATCTGATCTTACAAATGAACAGAGTCTGATTGGGGGGGAAAGCCTTTTGTACTTTATCTTCTTCATCCCAAACTAACCAGTATGACTCAGTGAGTGGCAATGTGTGAAAGAAAGGAGCACACAAAAGTGACTAATAGGTCATTTTATCAGAATCTTCCCTATACACTCTCTTCTCTTTTTTTGGTGTTGTTGTTGTTCAGGGAGGAGGGGTAGTGGGTGGAGTCATGCACACATGAAGATACACAGAGGTTACTCCTGGCCTAAGTTTAGGAACTACTTCTGGTGGTGCTCGGGGGATCATATGGAATTCTGGGTCGACCACATACAAAACAAATACCCTATCTGGTGTGCTATCACTTCAGCTGCTCCAATGCTGTCTCTTATGGGAATGTAGGGACACTTCTCCTTGAGACACCCAAAGTGTTAGCAGCTGCCTGGAGCTCAGGGTTTTTTTTTTTTACCACATTCTATATACCTTTAATCCAGATGTTAAGTCTGATCTCTGGAGTTTAATGTTGCTGGGCTTGTTGCTTCTAACCTTGGGAGACAGGTTTGTATGGTAATAAATAACCTAGCTAGAGAGGTGATTTGGGAGTTGAATCCAGAGTATGTTGTTGCTTCCATTCTAGGCCAAACTGTTTTCCTAAAGTAGGGGAAAATGTTGTATTGGGGATAAAGTGTCCTCTTAAGTGTTCTCACCTCTAGTAGGAAAAATTCAATTTCCTTGAAAGCTGTGTCACCATTTTCCCTTTCTTGAGACTTTAATCTTTGTATCACAGTGGAAAAGGCACAGAGGATCAAAGATACAATACAAATTACTGGGTCACATTTTGAACCCTACTTGTGTGGTCATCAGAGTATCTAGGAGCAGGAGGTGGCCTGTGGCAGATGGAGAGCTGGGGGAGTGTCAAGGAGCAGCAGGGAAGATGGGCGAAATTATCTGAACACAGAACGGTGATTTTGATACTGTATTCGGCCACCAAGCACAGGTTATTAGCTGTAAAAAAATCAATTTTCTTTGATAGTGTCTCTATGATCCTTGCCTCTCCTCTGAAATTTAGGTGATGACCAAAGTAACTCTAGACAGTATATTCCATGGCACATTATGTGTTTGTTGCATTTAACTGCTCTGGACATTATAAAATCAATAGACCACCACGCTGAAACTCGATTTCAAAATAGATACTATATTTTCCTCATCTCTTTTTGTAATTTCAATCAGATCAGGTATTTTCCCCCCAACCTGTGTTCAGTGTTTCCTGAGCATTCAGTTTCTTACAAAAATCTAAGCGGAGCATGTGGATAGGCTTTAGTCTAATTACAGGGTGTTTGTTTATTTTATTACATGTTTGTATTTTATACAAAGTCTGTGAAAGAAACAGACTATCATATGCAATTCTCTTATTTAAAATTTTCTATTGAAGGGACATTTTCTTATGACATTATACAGGTTTCAGATGTACAGGATGATATATAAGTCAACAGCTGTATATGTTACATAATGATTTTAAAAACTCTCAGTTACAGCATTTTTCCTTTTAAGGAGTTTACTTCTGTAAGCTATAAGGTTTATAATATTAAAAAAAATTTGGCCACCCCTCGTAGTGTTCTTGCTGCTGCTGTTCATGGACCATCTGCGTTGCTGGGGATTAAATCAGGGTTGGCTGCTTGCAAGGCAAGGGTCTTACCCCCTGTATTATCTCTCCAGTTCCAGTTAGAAGAATTTTACTCATTTTTAAATTAATAAATTCACCCTTTAAATTATAAATTAGAATAACTATATTGCAAGAGAATTAGAAACAAGAGAAAGACATTGTCTATAAAGTCAACACGCTAACCAAAAATTATTAGAACTTGGTTTTACACTCAGGGTTTTTTCTTTTTTTTTCTGTCAAGCAGATTTCCCCCTTTACTCACAATATACTTGCATGCTTATAATTTTTTCCATTTGAAAATATCATAAGCACTGGCCACTTTTACCATAAATCATATATTAACTAAAGGGCTCTAGCACTTCGTTTAATTTTTTTTTCTTTATCGAGGTTCTGTAATTTACAGTGCTATTAATGATGGTTTCTCATGCATTTAATTCCAACATCACACCCATCACTAGTGTACTCACATCCCTCCCCCAGGGATCCCAAACACTCCCTTTCAGCAACCTTCTCCACTTTCTGCCTCTCCACCAATTCAGTTGTGTGGCTCTCTTGGGCCATAGTACTTTGCAGAACAGGTGAGAGATAAATCCTGGTTGGCACATTCTCTGCTGCCCGCATTGAAACCTGTGATATGTGCTTTTTTTCCCCCTTTTCCTTCATTTCATCCATCTATCCTCTTTCAATCACTCTTTCTCTGACTCCCTTTTTAAATTTTATTTATTTTTATTTAATTAATTAATTAATTTTTGCTTTTTGGTTGACACCCGGCGAAGCTCAGGGGTTATTTCTGGCTCTGCAGTCAGGAATTACTCCTGGAGGTGCTCAGGGGACCATATGGGATGCTGGAGATCGAGCCTGGGTTGGCCACGTGCAAGGCAAAAGCCCTACCCACTGTATTATTGCTCCAGCCCCTCCTTACTTTTTTTTAAATAAAACTATTTTACTTTAAAAAATACATCCTTGTTTTTATGTCTTCAGTGGCATCATGAGATGCCTACTATTTATTTAGCCAGAAGTTGGACTTGAATGTAAATTCAGTTGCTGTTTTGCTCTGTGATCAGAGGCAAGTTATTTCTCCTTTCTGAACCTTAGTTTTCATATCTGTAAAATGTGTCATGTATTTTGTAAATATGTGATCTGAAAATGGAAACTATTGTCGTTTAGACTCTTTCCTGGGTATTACAAACAGTAAAATGTGGTGCACATTTGCATATATAATACCTATCTAGAATTCCAATGGTTACTTTTAGGATTGTTCTATGAAAAGATTCTCAACTTGCCCTGCATGTTGTTTTCCAGGAGAATTTACTAAAAATTCAATAACACTATAAAGGTATGAGAGAACCTTGTCATCCTTTTTATTTTTCAGGTAAGCTTTAAAGTTATTCTTTCTAAATTACTGCATTCAAGAGTTTGGCTATAAACATCAATCTTCAGCTTCAAGTTGAGAATATTCCATGTTTTCTCACTTACTTAAAATACTTTTAATTTTCATATACTTTATTTTTTATCAAGAACATATCTACATTTTTATGTGTCTTATTGCAACCAGGAATATATACATATTATAATGTTCAAATATTATGTCTATAGATATTTAAT